AGATATCCGGGTCCGATGCCATGGAGCGCTTTAAAGATGATAGTCAACACCTTAAAGCGCACCCGGAAGGCCACAGGCAGCCAATGCAGCTCGCGCAGCAGCGGTGTCACGTGGGAGCGCTGAGTCCCCCCCAACACCGCCCGCGCGGCCGCATTTTGGACCAGCTGGAGCCTCCGGGTGCTCCTCAAGGGGAGCCCCAATATGAATAGAATAGAATAGAATAGAATAGAATGAAATAATATGAATAGAATTGAATAGAATAGAATAGAATATATGGAATTGAAGAATAGAATAGAATAGAATAGAATAGAATAGAATAGAATAGAATAGAATAGAATAGAATAGAATGAAATAATATGAATAGAATAGAATAAAATAAAATAAAATAATATGAATAGAATAGAATGAAATAATATGAATAGAATAGAATAGAATAGAATGAAATAATATGAATAGAATAGAATAGAATGAAATAATATGAATAGAATAGAATAGAATAGAATGAAATAATATGAATAGAATAGAATAGAATATATGGAATTGAAGAATAGAATAGAATAGAATAGAATGAAATAATATGAATAAAATAGAATAGAATACCATAGGATAGGATGGGATGGGATGGGATGGGATGGGATGGGATGGGATGGGATGGGATGGGATGGGATGGGATGGGATGGGATGGGATGGGATGGGATAGGATAGGATAGGATAGGATAGGATAGAATGAAATAATATGAATAGAATAGAATAGAATAGAATAGAATGAAATAATATGAATAGAATAGAATAGAATACCATAGAATAGAATACAATAGAATAGAATAGAACTTTATTTAGAATAGAATAGAATATGAATAGAATACCATAGAATAGAACTTTATTTAGAATAGAATAGAATAGAATAGAATAGAATAGAATAGAATAGAATAGAATAGAATAGGATCTTGGAGGTCTTCTAGTCAAGCCCCCTCCTCGAGCAAAAGAACGTATACCATTTCAGATTGGCTGAATGTTGGGCTCTGTTGTGGTTGTGAGTCGAAAACTACCTGTAGTATTTAGCACAGTGTAAAAAAATACAGTGCTTGAATACCTTCTAAAGTCTTACCGTTCTTTGCTTCAGACTATCAAAGTGACCTTGGATGTCCATGTGAATGGCTCGGCTGGAGACATCCTGGTTTTTCTGACAGGTAAGTGTTCTTTTGCTCCCAGGTTAGATGCTACCCTGTGGAGAATCACTATGCTCCTTCATATATAGGGAGTCCTTCACTTAAACAAGCATAATTGAACCTGGTATTATGGTCATAAGGCACTGTGGGTATTAAGCAGGTCACCCTGTGACCAAACCTGATTTTTTTTTAAATTTCTGATGGCGTTTGCCTTTGGAGATCCTCAGTCATCCAGGTCATGGTTGTCCCAAAGATGCTTTTTCAGGAGACAACTGGACTTTCTTGTTTTTCTTTGAAGATGTTTCGCTTCCCATCCAAGAAGCTTCTTCAGTTCTGACTGGATGGTGGGGAATGGGAGGATTTATACTCCTTGCAGACAGCTGGTCATTTGCATTCTCTTAGAGAGTCGTTGAGGCCACCTGGAGGTTTGCCTGTATCCTCAGGGTCACCTGAGTGGTGCAAATGGGTGTGGCGCCTTCTTGGCTGCAGGATGTTTTCTGTCCTGTGTACCTTCAGCCTGCGCCTGTCTTCAACAGGGAAGGGACCCAGGTCTGCAGCTTAAAAGTAACACCTCCCCTCCTTAATCTAAAGTTGAAATGCAGAGGCTGCCAAAATTTCATCCTTGACACACGCCCCATTATACCACCTTTTTATCATGTTTGTCAAGTGAATCACTGCAGTTCAGTGAACCATGTGGTCATTAAACGAGTCAAGCTCCCTCCATTGACTTTTCTTTGGAAGCCGGCTGGGAAGGTCGCCAATGCGTGATCATATGACCCCCAGGATATCACTGCAACCATATTAAATACATGCCAATCACCCAACATCCAGTTTTTGATCACACGACCGAGGTGACGATGCAGCCGTCGTGAGTGTGACTCCCTGGCTGCAAGTCACTTTTTTTTCCAGTGCCATTCTAACTTTGAATGGTTGCTAAACGAACGGTTCTTAAGTTCCAAGTCTGCCTGTGTCCTTTCTCACGGTTCTTCAGAACAATGTCTTAAAATGAGTTTGTGGTTTCGCACTAGGGCAATCGGAGATCGAAAGAGCTTGCGAGCTTCTTTTCCAAAAAGCCGAGATGATAGATTACCGCTTTGACGTAAGAGAGCGCTCCGTGGAAGGCTTACTTATCTTGCCCCTGTACGGATGCATGCCAACAGGTGAGAGAACTTCTTTTATTGCCTGTGTTAGGATTTTCTCGCTGTGAGTCCTTATGTCATGCCTCCGTCCGAGCCTGACTCTGAGGATGACATGGAATTCCCTGTTGAGGCCCAGGAGGGGGTGTCTGTGGCTTCGGAGGACTGTGGGGAGGAACTGGCTGAAGCAGGCCAGGGCCCTTCAAGTTTGGAACAGGGAAGGCAGAGCTCAGGCGAGGAGCAAGGCCCCTTCCCACTAGATCCCAGAGCAAGGAGAGCAGAGAGGAGGAGGGAACAACGGAGGCAGGCTCACTTGCTCAGGAGGAGAGCGTCACGCCCCACTCCACAAGGCACACCTGGGGAGTAGGTATTTAAGGAGACGCTGTGGGGTGGGGCATTTGCCAGGAACAAACATGAAGTCTTATGATGTGAACTCTTGTACCTGGACTCTTTGTATTTTGGATCAAGTCTGTTTCCTGCTGAGTTCTCTTTGCTGTCCTCAGCTTTGCAGTTTGCAGGTTACAGGCAAGCTGGGCGTTGAAAAGATCATATTTTGTTTGTTATCTGTTTTACTTTAAAGAATTGTTTAACTCTGTTGGCTGTTTTATTGAACTTGTGCCAGCATATGTGGAGGCTGTTGGATGAATGTTGGCAGGGCTTACAAAGACAATTATTCCGACCAGCTAAGTGCTTTGCCTCCATTCGGGGCCCTGGGTCATCACACCTTACATCTACTGCATTGTGCAGCATTCGAGCCGTGGTGGCGCATAGTGGTTAGGATGCGGTATTGCAGGCTAACTCTGCCCACTGCCAGGAGTTCGATCCTCACCGGCTCAAGGTCGACTCGGCCTTCCATCCTTACAAGTTCGGTAAAACGAGGACCCAGATTGTTGGGGGCAAAATGCTGACTCTGTAAACCGCTTAGAGAGGGCTGTAAAGCACTGTGGAGCGGTCTATAAGTCTAAGTGCCATTGCTATTCTCTAAAAAGTTGTGAGAAGATTCTCTTTATCCTTTTTTCAAATCTCATTTGGCTCCCAGAGGCGTGGAGGTTTTTCAAGAAAAAAATTGGACAACCATTTCAGTAAAATTGTATAAAGTCTCCTGCCCCCGGCAGTGGGTTGGTCTAGAAGACCTCCATGATCCCTTCCAGCCCTATGATTCTGGGAAAAGAGAAACTGGTGTTTTGCAGGGGTCTTGGGACCTATTCTTGCTGCCCTCTTAGTGCGCTTGGCTACAGGTCCCAATATCTTCAACTGTGCTGGCTGAGGATGATAGCAGTTGTAGTCCAGGTCAGATCCCTCCTTGCTGTCTCGCCTGGCTGGCGGCTGGATTGTGGCCGAGTCCAATTTCACAAGGTTTCGCTTTTAATCTTTGCAAAACCTGTACACCTTCAGCGACAGGTGTTCCTTTCCTCTATTGCAGTGATGGAGAACCTTTTAGAGACCGAGTGCCCGAACTGCAACCCAAAACCCACTTATGTATCGTCGGGTGCCGGGCGTGGCCCATTGGGTGGGCATGGCCCATTGGGTGGGTGTGGGCCATTGGGTGGGCGTGGCTGCGGTGGTAACAGCAGACTGGGTGGGACTAAAAAGTTCAATCAATCAATTCCAACTTTGCAAGATCTTTTTTTTCCCCACGAGAAGTTGAAATTGACTGATTTGATTGAACCTGGGTTTTTTTGCACACGGCGGGAGAGGCCTAAAGTGAAAAGGTTTTATAAAACCCAGCTGAAGGCCTAGGACTGGGGCTACGACACGCGTGCCCACAGAGAGGGCTCTGCGTGCCACCTGTGGCACGCGTGCCATAGGTTTGCCACTACGGCTCTATTGCATTCTTCTGACACTGTTTTTGTCACTTAGATCAGCAGAGACGGATATTCCTGCCGCCTCCGCCAGGGATCAGGAAATGCGTCGTGTCCACAAATATCGCAGCAACATCTTTGACCATTGATGGGATCAAGTAAGAGTTCTCGATTGGATGTTTAGCTGGGCCTGTGGTTGAACTAGGGCAGACATGTCAAACACAAGGCCCGGGGGCTGGATGCGGAGCCAATGTACAATTTTGTGGTGGCCATCTTGGCACTTGCCCCGGTGGACCATGCCTTGGCACTTGCCCCAGTCCCACCCCCTTCTGCCAGAGATCCTCAGATCTGTCCCACTCCTGCCCAGGCCCCCACTGGCACCCTTGACGCGAACAATGTAGAACTGGCCACACCCACCCAGTAGGCCACACCCACTCCATCCACGCCCACTCAATAGGCCGCACCCACCCTGGCCACACCCACCTGGCCCCCCAAGGTCAACCGCAATGCTGATGCGGCCCTCAGTGAAATTGAATTTGACACCCCTGAACTAGGGAGTTGTTTAATGCAGTTAGTCATCAAGTTACAACCGTACAGATTGTCTTCGATTTACAAACATTTGTTTAGTAGCTGTTTGAAATTACAGCAATACTTTGAAAAGCGTCTTAGGACCATAGCAGCATTCCTAGAGTCATAGGATCTAAATTCAGACCCTTGGCAACTGACTCACATTTATGACGGTTGCAGTGTCCCAGGGTCAGGTGATCCCCTTTTGCGACCTTCTGACAAGCAAAGTCATTGGGGGAAACCAGAGTCACTTAACAACCCTGTTACTGAATGTACAACTGAAATTGATTCATTGAATAAATGTGGCAAGAAAAGCGGTAAAATGGGGCAAAATTCATTGAACAAATGTCTCACTTAGCAACAGAAATGTTGGGCTCAGTTGTAGTCCTAAGTTGAGGACTACCTGTTTTTAGTATCGCCTGTTCACCGCCCTGAGTCCCGCAAGGGAGATAGGGCGGTATATAAATTTAATAAATAAATAAATAATTAATAAATACCTGTAATTGAGCCTGGCAATTAACGGTTGTAAGTCATGAAGGTCGTGAAGTGGGTCATATGGAGGCAGGACTCCTTGCAGAAGCCAAGGGAGGGGTCTGCAATCACATTGGTAGTCCTTAACCATGTGAATAGAGGTGCGCTCCCAATTTGGTAAGATTTACATTTCTGTCTTCCCTTTTTTTTTTCCAGGTATGTGGTTGATAGTGGGTTTGTGAAGCAGTTAAGCCACAACCCAAGAGTTGGCTTGGACGTGCTGGAGGTGGTGCCAATTTCGAAGTAAGCCCGATGGAAATCTTGGTTTAGCTTTGCATCCAGGTAGTTCTCAACTTATGACCACAATTCAGATCGGAACTTCTGTTATTATATGCAATGTGGTCATTAAGTCAGTCTGTCAACATCCAACTCGAGGATCCAAGTAAAACTCCAGATTCATTCTGTTTCTGAAAATCTTATCGTTTATTGAATACACGGCATGGTAATGTTGAAGCAAAACTAACTCTGAGGTTCCCAGACACCAGTTCATAGAATTAAACAATAATTTCCCCGGCTAAACCCCCAACCTCCCCAGTACTCCATGTAAACAATTTCACTTTGTTATGGGAACCGTCTGCTGCTTCTCCGCACCCGGTGCGGTGTCCTTGGAAAGGTTTCCGGCTCTGATGGTGTTCAGCAGAATCGTAGAGGTTTTGTTTCTCCATCTAATCCATTCTAAAGCAACACTTCCCCCCCCCTTACTGTAATGGCAAGTTGAAATGAAGAGTTTCATTCTCGACGCAGTCATCGTGTCAGCACGCTTGATTTTACGATCTTTTTTTGCCAAGTGAATCACATGGCTGTTAAGTGAATCCTGTTTCCCCCCAATGTTGGAAGTTGGCTGGTAAAGCACTCGGTCTCTAAAAGGTTCGCCATCACTGCCCTATAGCAGGGCTTTTCAACCTTTTCACCCATTGTACCACTTTTGGGATATGGCAATATCCGAGTACCACCAGTCGCCTAGCAAGGTGTCAAAAACTTTCTCCTGTCTGAGGTTTCCATTGTTGTGAGCATTTCTGTTGAGGATTGGCAGTGGGGGTGGGGTGGGGGGTGTTTGGTTTTTATTCCCCCGTCTGCTGAGTGGTTGCAGCAGGTTTTGGTCACTTCACGTGACCCTGGTACACTGTGACCGTCATAAATATGAGTTGCCAAACATCTGAATGTAAATCACAAGACCCTGGAGATGCTGCAACATTCCAGCTGATCGGCACTTCCTCTGGGCTCAGCAGAAGTGCCAGGATCAGCGCCGAGCTCCAGCTGGAGCCTGGCGTTGATCCTGGCACTTCCACTGAGCCCTGACAGTCCCGAAGAAGCACAGATCATCTGGAAAGCGGTACTGATCCTGGTGCTTCCGCTGAGCCCTGACAGCCCTGCAGCTCCAGCCATCTCTCGCTCAGGCTTGTGCGGTGCTGCCACCGGTTCAGTCATTCCCCTCCCCCGCTACCACTTTTATAGGATGGTCGCGTACCACCTGCCAGGTGCCAATGTACCACAGGTGGTACCCGTACCACTGGTTGAAAAGCCCTGCCCTATAGCATCGTCTTGAGGGAAGAAGTTGAAACACTTTATGTCCAGATTGTGTGGGGCCTGTAGATATTTTCTCAGCCCTCTTTCTGGTTCCTGAAGTATAGACATCCTCAGTGGAAGGCAGGCTGGTTGCAACTGTTTTTTTCTGCAGTCCTAACTCTTCGTTGAAATCCGTGTCTGTCTTGTTTGGTTGCAGTGCCAAACAAGACAGACATAGAGGTGCAGATGACAGACTCAGATTACTCCTCCTCCTCCTCTGATGACTACCACATAACATAGTGGGAAACTTGCCTTGCCTCTTAAGATAGAGGGTCTTGAATCTGTAGCCAGCGGGCCGCAGGAATGGCTGGCGAGTCCACGTACATGTGCGTGCACTCCCCACTCACTCTGGCAGCTCCGTTTGCGCATGTGCGGGGGTGCTAGCGACACCACAAGCATCATGCGGTCGCTAGCAGCCCGCTTGCACATGTGCATGGCCACTAGCGGCCTGTTTGTGGGTGCTAACATCCCGCTTGCGCGGGCGCGCAGGCACCAGCACTACCGCCTGCACTGCTGCGGGTGCACGCAGTTCACTTGCGCATGCGGTCCACTTGCATATGCGTGCAGTGCTGGCGCCATCGTACATGTGCCTGTTTGTGCATGCACGCGTGCACAGACACATTTCTCTGCTCTTCCCTTTCCCTCTGGGATCTCTGTCTTAAGACCAAAAGGGTCCATGAGCCGGGCAACATTTCAGAATTTTGCCAAATAAAAAATTGAGATGTTCTGTTTTTCAATGTACTGCTTCTAGGAGCGAGGCGGTGCAGCGTGCAGGCCGAGCCGGTAGAACAGCATCTGGGAAATGCTTCCGGGTCTATAACAAGGAATTCTGGGAACAGTGCATGCCCGACCACATGGTTCCAGAGATCCAACGGACCAGTTTGACCTCAGTGATGCTGACTTTGAAGTGCCTGGCCATCCACAACGTAATCAGGTAACCCTTGGCATGGGTCTTGTTTGTCAAATGCTGAGTTAGGAAGCCATGTTCTGATTGGCGCTCAGCCTCTGGAGCTATTGTTTTTTTCTCTGCCCAGCCTACCCTGCAAGTTTGTTGTTGGTACAGGTAGTCCTCGACGTATGACCACAATTGAGCCCATCATTTCTGTTGCTAAGCAAGATAGTTGTTTAGTGAGTTTGGCCCCATTTTATGACCTTCCTTGCCACAGTTGTTAAGTGAATCACTGCAGTTGTTAAGTTAGTCATGTGGTTGTTAAGTGAATCTGACTTTCCCCGTTGACTTGGCTTGTCAGAAGGGATACATGTAATCCCGGGATACCGAACTGTCATAAATATGAGCCAGGTGCCAAGTGTCTTGAGTTTTGATCACATAACCGTAGGGACGCTACAGCGGTCACATGAAAAACGGTCCTCTTTTTTCAATGCCGTTGTAACTTCAGACAGTCACTAAACGAATGATCGTAAGCCGACGACTACCTGTATTTGGAGATTATGTTTTCCAACCAGGAATTTTGCACAGCCTACATAAATCAGATGGTGCTTTTATTGATTTCCACATTGGTCTTGCCAGGTCCACCAGGTAGACCGGATCAGGAAATCAACTCCATAG